TGATTACAGGAACTTATCTTATGTTTGCACTGCTCAATGCTGGCTTCCATGCCTTCATTTAACTTATATATTGCATGAATGTCATGATTTTTCAATCTTGTTGGTGTCACCAAAGTTACAGAAATCTTGTTCCAACTGATCATTAAAAGATAGTAGCTATTATACAATAGAATATTCAAAATTTTACTATCAATGAGTTTTGAACCTCCCATCTGCTAATATGCCACTTGGGGTGTAACAACTTAACCACTTCACTAAGTTGCCATACTCTAATTATCTATTATTTATATTGATTTAATAAATTTTAAAGTAATAGCAATATAATGAACATTAAAATAATAATACCAATAATGACTTTAATAATTAAACTAATATTTTAGAGTCTAAAAATTTTGTATTATATAAAATTCTGATTGAATTTATATTACTTGAAATTATAATAGTAGTGTATTACTTGAAATATTTACATTGACTATAATATATTGTAATATTTAGGATTCACAGATTATCTAAGTAGTTTCTACTTTTATCACCAAAAATCATTATATGTCTATCAGAGCCTTTTGTTTAAAGAATTATAGTAAAACCTTTATAAGCACTTGTTAAATAAAATACTTAATACTGCTAAGAAAAAATAACAACTATAAAGAGCTTTACTAGATGTATTCTAATAAAAATTTATATTATTATTAACTAATATTTAATAAAATTATATTTATTTTTATATAACATATTTGTCCACTTATCAGATTTTATATTAATAATAGTAAATATAAAACATCAACAATAAAGGCCAAATAATTAATTTTATAATATTAAAATATAATATATACTTACATTATTTATTGGTACAAATAATACAAAATTAAAATCAGTTCTATTAATATATAAAATATTATCATTATATAAAATTATTTTGAAAGGTATAGATGCATTTATCATATTGCTTAAATTTCATATTAATGTTAGTTTTGTGAATATTCAAAAATCATTAGAAGCATCAGAAGTTATAACACCACTAAAAATAGTATTAAACCAATTATTAAATTTAATATATAAAATACTATCATTTAGACATTCAAAGTGTAACCGATTGGCTTCTTCTTCCAAAGACGGCACTCTCCGTATTTGGGATACTACTCTGCGTCGCGTTGTCGCTACTATGTCACAACATACTGCTGCCGTAACGTGTATAAAATGGGGAGGAAATGGTTTGCTTTATTCTTCTAGCCGAGATAAGACAATTAAAGTTTGGGACGCATCACAGGTATAAGAAAACTTCAAATTATGGATTATGTATGGTTGTGAGTTATAGATGTTTACTCTTTACATTATTAAGGGAAAACTAGTCAGAACACTAGAAGGCCACGGTCATTGGGTTAATACTCTTGCATTGAGCACAGATTTTGTTCTGAGAACGGGTGCCTTCGATCATATTGGTAAAAAACCAAAAGATGAAAATGAAGGTATAACAGAAAAAATTAGCCGGTATACAGAGTAATGAACTTTCATTCTTCAAATAACTACGCCATAACTTATTAAATAAAATTTTACAATTTTGACTGTAGCACAAGAACGAGCTCTGGAAAGATATAAAGCAGCTACAGGAAATAAACCGGAACGACTTGTTTCTGGATCTGATGATTTTACAATGTTTCTGTGGGAACCATCAGAAAGCAAGAAAGCGATAGCAAGGCTCACTGGACATCAAAAACTTGTCAACTATACGAGTTTTTCACCTGATGGACGTTTGTTCGCTAGTGCTAGTTTTGATAATTCGGTAAAGCTTTGGGATGGATTTA